ACTGACAGGTTCAGTTCCTGTAAACATAAAATAAAGGGGTTTAATTTAATATGCCATGACATATAAGCAAGGATGTCCTATTTCAATACAAAAGCTTTGAATGAAAATGCAGATTTACTTTATTTTTATGCAAATGTACCTGTTTGGACGAGTGTTGTTTCATGTTAGGCTGGTAAATCACACCTCTGCTGTTCGTGCAGCATTTGCATGTCAGTATTTTTGCATATTGTTGGGTATCTACAGCTCATTGTTATATTAATAAACTGCATGTTTGATTTTAAGGACTGTTTTGTTACTTTTGTATGATGGTACTGTGTATTTTGCCACAGATGTCCTGTCAGTGTACAATCTAGGTCCTGAAACAATGATATAGCACTGCTCTGACACTGCTGTGAGCAATATTAAGAGCAAAGATTAAGTAATTTCACAACAAAAAAAAGAGCAAAGGACGCAGTAAATCAGAATTAAACAGCCACAAAAGCGTAACGGTGCATCCTCCTGCCCTGTGGGCGGCAGCACTGCGCTGACGTTGTATTGAATCGCGAAACGCTACAGAGGAAAGCGAATCACTTCCGTCAGAACGAACGCCGGGTTCATCATGGCGGCGGGGCCGATTTCAGAACGAAATCAAGGTAAATTTAATAATTCTAAACTCGTAGGGGTACTTTAATGCACTTTATTTAAGACAAGAAAAGTATTGCAGAACTATGGAAAGATTTAAGCTTTTCATATCTGCCATTCATTCAAATATGCTTGCGAAAAGCAGATAACAGAGAAAAGTTTTGGTTTTAATTTAGATTTAGTGTATCAAACTAATATAATATATGTGTATAAATACTATTAGTAGTAGAAATAATCATCAAAATAATGTGTATTTTATTTTATACGTGCCTTATCTTTGTGTCCAATGCAATAGTGTTCATTTTTATTTTTTTTCAGATGCCACTGTATATGTGGGAGGTCTTGATGAGAAGGTCTCTGAACCTTTGTTATGGGAGCTTTTCCTGCAAGCTGGTCCTGTTGTAAACACACACATGCCCAAAGACAGGGTAACAGGACAACATCAGGGTGAGTTACCTTATCTTTGAGCCTTCAGAGAAAACATTCTAACATTTTCGATGCTTTTAAGTTGATATTTCTCTCTAATCTTCAGGTTATGGCTTTGTGGAGTTCCTCAGTGAAGAGGATGCAGACTACGCCATAAAGATCATGAACATGATCAAACTTTACGGCAAACCCATCCGAGTCAACAAGGCTTCGGCACACAACAAGAACCTCGACGTCGGTGCCAACATCTTCATTGGCAACTTAGACCCTGAGATCGATGAGAAACTCCTTTATGACACTTTCAGCGCTTTCGGCGTGATCCTTCAGACACCGAAGATCATGCGAGATCCGGACACGGGCAACTCAAAGGGTTATGCTTTCATCAACTTTGCAAGTTTTGATGCCTCCGATGCAGCTATTGAGGCCATGAATGGCCAGTATCTCTGCAATCGGCCCATCACGGTTTCATACGCCTTTAAGAAAGACTCAAAAGGCGAGAGGCACGGCTCGGCTGCAGAGCGCCTCCTGGCCGCCCAGAATCCACTTTCACAGGCCGATCGTCCCCATCAGCTTTTCGCAGACGCTCCACCACCTCCCACACTTCCTACACCGGTCATGACCGCCCTTGGAACAGGGATTCCAATTCCAGGTTAGTTGAAGGGATAGTCGACCAAAAATGAAAATTTACTGATTATTTACTCATCCTCATGTTGTTCCAAACCCATAAGACAATTAACTTTTCTTTTCTTTTTTATGAAACCTGAGCGGTTTCTTTCGCTTCATTGAAAGTCAAGTCACCTTTATTTATATAGTGCTTTATACAATACAGATTGTTTCAAAGCAGCTTCACAGTATTAAGCAGAATCAATGATGCAAACTACTTCAAATGAGACAAATTCTTCTATAAAGCAGCTTTAAAAAGACAATATTAGTGTCATTATTCAGTTCTGGTCAGTTCAGTGTTTATTCAGTTCAATAACAGTCTAATGTTAGTCAAAAAGAAGCTCTACACAAGGCAATATTGTCATTTTTCAGCTTGAGCCAATTTATTGTCGATTCATTTTAGTTCCGTAACTGTTGAAAAATTTGTCAGTTATGAAACAATTTTGATTCATCTTTAAAGCAGCTCTGATTGACTCATCTAGCACATCAAGTATCTGTGTCGATCATTGTTTAGCTTAAAAGCATAATTTAGATCTGTTCATCATATAAAGTGATCATATCTCTTTTGAAGACTTGGACTAAACTGCTCCATTCTTATGGATTCCTTTTATGACGCATTTATAAACTTTTTGAGTCTTTTTAAGTTTTGATTAACCGGACTTTCAATGGAGGGACAGAAACCTCACAGGTTTTATTAAAAACATCTTAATATTTTAAATCTTACGGGTTTGGAACGACATGAGGGTGAGTAAACGATAACAGAATTTTAATTTTTGTGTGAACTAGCCCTTTAATGTAAGGATCTTGGACCCAAGTATGTTTGCTCTTATTACTGGTACAATAAATGTTTTTTGTGTAATTTTTTTTGTAGGAATGCCACCTCCTGGTGCTTTCCCACCTGTTCCTCCTCCTGGCACAATGCCTCATCATGGGATGCCACCCAATATGCCCATGCCTCCTGCACCAGGTACTCCTGGATCACAGGCTGGCGGCGCAGGGCCCCCGCCGGGACCACCGCCCTTCCCTCCTGCGGGAATGAATCCACCAGGAATGCCGCCCATGCCGATGCCTCCGTCAGGACCTCCAGGAATGGTGCCTCACCCACCTGGCCCGCCTGGATCTTCTCAACCAAGAGCACCACCTCCACCCGGCATGCCTCCTCCACCCATGGGTGTCCCTCCCAGAGGACCGTTTGGTCCCCCAATGGGTACGTGTGTGAAGAAGTGCCTTGTTGTGCTTTTAAACGGAAGCAAAATAGACGTAATCTGTTGTTAAGCAATAATTCCTCCCCTCTTTTACAGGTCCACCAATGCATCCAGGTATGAGGGGACCTCCTCCGCCAATGCCACCTCCAGGTTATGGTGCCGGCCCACCCAGACCCCCGCCTTTCGGCTTTCAGAGAGGGCCTCCCATGCCGCCACGTCCTCCTGCTCCACCGAGGGGTCCAGTGAGAGCACCAATGCCTCCCTAAACCCTAATGTGAAGACCTTTTTAAAAGCTTTGTCAGTTTTATTTACATTCTGTACTTTGATAGATGGATCTCTTGCTTCTTTGTGTACTGATTTCTTAATTTTGATTAATGTACCTATTCAGAATTAGCCAGAATAAACGATTTTATATAACTGTCATTTTATTATTATTTCTTTTTTATTTGAAGTACTGTTTTAAGTACAGAAGCAATGATGCATTAAATTGCTCGAAAATGACTTTAGACATTTATAATGTTACAAAAGATTTCTATATCAAATAAATGCTGCTGTTTTGAACTTATTAAACAAGGAATCCTGAAAATGTGTCAGGGTTTCCACAAAAATGTTAAGCAGCACAACTGTTTTCAACATTAATAAGAAATGAGCAGCAAACCAGCATATTAGAATGATTTCTGAAGGATCATGTGACTCTGAAGGATCATGTGAAACTGAAGACTGGAGTGATGATGCTGAAAACTCAGCTTTGCATCACAGAAGTAAATTACATTTCAAAATATATTAACATGGAAATATTAAATTGAAATATTACACAAAGTTACTGTTTTACTATATTTTATCAAATAAATTAATCCTTGGTGAGCAGAAGAGACAAATGTAAAATAAAATAAAAATCTTACCCCAAAATTTATTAGTCTTGAAAAATGGATCATGTGACTCTGAAGGATCACGTGAAACTGAAGACTGGAGTGATGATGCTGAAAACTCAGCTTTGCATCACAGAAGTAAATTACATTTCAAAATATATTAACATGGAAATATTAAATTGAAATATTACACAAAGTTACTGTTTTACTATATTTTATCAAATAAATGAATCCTTGGTGAGCAGAAGAGACAAATGTAAAATAAAATAAAAATCTTACCCCAAAATTTATGATTAGTCTTGAAAAATCACACATTTAGTGTTGTGGTGTGCACAATGTTCTTTTACTGGGTTGTATATAACATGAGCAACAGAAAATGTACACAGAAGCCACAAATTGATCATTACAATATTTTTAATAAAAAATAAGTCAAAAGCTTTATACATCACATAAGCACATAACACAAGTGGAGGAAAACACTAAACTCAAGATTTTGCATTTACACCACTGTAGCTTCATAAATTGTAGTGCCAGTATATTACTGTGGCTCATGTTTACAATGTGAGGATGAGAAACATTCATAATTTTATGAATGGTTAAAAGGACAAATAATTACATAATTCCTTTGCGAGAAGTTTATGCATCTCAACTGCTTAAAATCGACCATTTCTGCTGAGGTTACTACATTTATGTCCTTGACAAACATCACTTACTACCACTATTTTCTGTTTTATAGCATTTATACATTTTAATCACTTCTGATCTTGCCATCTATTGCAGATATCGGCATGTCATAATTATGCACCTCAGAAACCACTTATTTTTTCATAACTCAGGGAGGTCACAATTATGCATTTTAACATACAAAACCCTGATGCTGAATTTAGACTTTTTACATTTGTGAAAGCTTTTTTCTTTGTCACTTTGCACAAGAGATCTCAACTTAATATTCAAAGTAATTAAACATATCATACAGCAGAGAAAAAAAAAAAATGTTACACAAGGAATGTGAGTTAAATGTTAAATGGGAATTATGCTTTATACCCACTGAAACAAATACCATATATGCAATAATTAATGTAGAATCCTTTGAGTGAAAACTAAACATGACCAAAGGCACTTTTAATTAACCTATAGATTTTAAAATCGCCAAACAGAAAAAAAAGATTGACTACTTTTTTACTTCCAATGCATAGAACACATGACTGCTGCATTCTGAGATGAAGTTTCATTGTTTAATTTCAAAAGTAATTAAACTAATTGTCTGAATAAGGCAGCTACATTTCTAGGGGATCTCAAAAAACATACAGTTTGCAAAGAGTTCCATCCTGAGTGAACCTTTTCCAGCTGTTTTGAAGAACCCAATCTCGGACAAATCAGGGGTGACCACTTTTAAAGACACTACAGATACAGACTCCCAGAAAGAATCATTTTCCCTGGTCACGCGTGTGTGTGTGTGTGTGTGTGTGCATATGATGCACATTGTGGTTGTTTCTTTGTGAACTTTCATTTGAAGCAAGAAACATTAACCTGAACAGAACAAGGAAATAAATTACAAAAAGGACTTAACTGCCAAAAAATAAAAATGAACCAAAGCAAAACCGTGCTGATGCACTCTTTGGTTGCTTAAGCACTGAGTCCACGCTCTTGGGCCATCTTTTATGAAATGACTTCCGTGTGACCCGCCGTGGCTTCCACTAAAGTTATCTGCTCGTCCGCAGAGTCGATCTCTTCTGTTTTGATGACTACGCCACCATCTGAAAACATGACTACTTCCTCTTCTGCCTCGGTTGTTTCTTCGAAACCAACCTCTTCCTGCACAAACACGACTTGCTCCTGGTCCAGGGCTGTTGTACCGTTGGGCTGTCCATTTTCCATGGCTTCCAGTTTCATGCGGTACTCCTCTGCTTCCTGCTCTTTGCAGAGCAACTGCTGACGATAGGATTGAGCTTTCCTGTTGGCTTCCTGTAACTGCCACTGGAGATGCTCCTGGAGATTAAAGATAGAATCAAGATGGAGCGGGGTGATTTTTAACATCTGGATGTTTTGCTCTTAGGGTGTTTTTTTACATCTAGTTACACTCACTGTTTCACTGGTCTCTGCATTATTGGATGAAACTTCGATTTTCCTTTTACGGGCAGGAGGTTCGGAGTCATCTACCACTTCCTCTGTGATTTGATTGGCTGGAACTGCCAATACTACTAAAGAAAAAAAAAACACCATTAATTACAGAAAGTACAAAACTGCAGTGAAAATATACTGTATCTGAAAAAAAAGGTAAGAAAAAAACCCATTAAAAATAAAGAAATTAATACCTTTATTTAGCAAGGATGCATTAAATTGATCAAAAGTGACTGCAAATTACTTTTACACTGTTACAAAAAAATTCTATTTCAAATGCAGTTTTTTTTTACTTTCTAATAATGAAGGAATTTTTAAATATATTCAAATAGAAAATAGTTATTTGAAATTGTAATATTTCACAATTTTACTGTTTTAATCTATTTTTGATTAAATAAACGCAGCTTTGATGAGTATACAATGGCATTTTAATGCCATATTTAAAAAAAAAAAAAAAAAAGCTTTTTTTGCATAGAAGCTAACAGAAAAATGTTGTTTCTGCCAATACTGTAATTTTTTCCCTCTGGAAATATTACCTTTATTCTTAAAATATTCAGACTTTAATCTCGTATTTCTACAACTTTATTCTTGTATTGTTACGACTTTATTCTGGTAATTTCGATTTTTTTTTTCAAAATATTATGACTTCAATCTCACAATGCTATGACGTTATTCTCATAATGTTTATTTTATTCTCAAATTATTTCGACTTTAATCTTGTAATCTTATTATTTTTTTTATTTATGTGGCACATACATTGCTGTCATCATACATAAGAGAATTCTTTGAAATATGAAACATTTACAGACCCCAAAATATATTCATCTAAAACTGTAACATTGAGAAGTTCTCTTCAAAATCTAAAATAAGAATAGTTAGTCATACCTTGTCGTCCATCCTGCATTGTGACAAAGAACGGCTGGCCGAGTCCATTTGTCTGCAGATTTCCATGTTGATCTGTTAATATGGTTATGACCCTCTGACCCGATTCATTCACCACTTGCTGGATACTCGAGTCCAAGGCACTGACAGCGATGGCCTCCTCTGTGTCACCTGAAAACAAACAGAAAACAAAAAGCAACTGTTGGTTTAATTACTATTTAAGATCAGAAAAAAGCTTCATATTGCATTATTCCATTCCATATTTATTTTCTAGTCAACTTATCATACCCGAGTTGGTTTTGATCAAGTCAGTGAGGTTGACGACTCCCCCTTGGATGTTTGGGACGCCCTGAATGATGAACTGTGGGGTGGAGCTGCCGTTTATGATTGACGCTTCGGCATTCCTGTTCACCTGATTCTGCATTCCCTCCTGAAACACACAAAGAGGATTCGTCATCTTTAACATTTCCTAAACTATTCTCTAATGTTTTTTCGTTTTCCCTGAACATGACAAACCTGTAATAGTTGCACAAGTTCAACGTGCTGTATGTCGACAGCGATATCAAAAGCTGATTTGTCAAACTTGCTGAGGGCATGTACATCAGCACCATGTTTGATCAACAGCTCTGCGATGTTGTAATGGCCGTGCTGGGCTGCCCAGTGAAGAGCAGTCATCTTCAACATGTCTTTGGCATTGATATCGGCACCACTCTAAAACATTTAAGAAACTTGCATCAGTCTCCTCAGCTGACAAACTGAGATTTGAAATATTTTCAGTACATTAAAAAAAGTATAACAAAAGACAAGCATTGTCTTACCCTGATTAATAAATCCACAATGACCTCATGGCCCTCAGTGGCCGCCATGTGCAGAGGGGTCCTGTCCACTTTGGTTCGGGCATCTCTGCTGACACCCGCCCTCAGCAGCACTTCAGCAGTAGAGTAATGACCATGCTGGGCTGCTAAATGTAATGGAGATGTTCCAAGCTGCAAAAAAAAAACTTAAGAGTCAACCAAATGAAAACACCCCAAAGCAATTTGTAGGCGTGTGTATGTGTACACAGGTATTGGAATTTGGCGCGGGATTGCGCATAATTCTACTGATTCCCGCAAATATTTCAGCGTGAAAGATGCTCGGGACAGATGACGGAATGTATCATTTGCACGTGCTTTTGAGTCTTACAATTTTAAACATTCAAGTGCTCAATTCATCACTTGGGAAAAAAAGCTCTCTGTGAAACCCCTTTCTGTGAGCTCACACCCAAAGTGTGTGCACATAGAGATGCATCTGAGAGCGCGCGACTACAGAATGAAGTTGTGTTGCGCCTTATTGCGCATAAATGGCCAAATACATACAAAAAGTATGTCAAAATGCCCGTCTTGTTGAGTATTCACGTAAACAGTCGATTTATACTAAACATTGTCAGTATATAGGCTATTAAGTGAATGTAAACAGTTGAGAAACAAAACTTGTGTGTAACAGTTAGAGCTGTGCAGGAGTCTTAAAGAGACAGCAACCTAAATAAACCTGCTGCTGTCTGTCATTAATGTAAAGATTATAATAGAAAAATAAAATAAAGATAATTCCATTTCTGTGGTATTTCTGTACCTGAATATTACTGTTATACCTACCTGAAAAACCTAAAGCACTGTTCATTTTAGTTGTATCTTGTTAATGTATTTGTTTGTGCCATTGCTCGTCATTTATCTATTCTTATTTTAATACTGACTGTTTACTTGTTTATTTTTTAATATTGTTTATTCAATTCAGAATTTGAAAAAGTTATTTTTAAGTATCTTCCTCACAATATAAATATGAATCAACAACATTATAAATTGTAAAACACAAATACACTGGGTGACGAAATATTTAGGTTATATGATTGTAGTTAAAAACATATGTCTAAAAAAATACCCTAACTCCCCCCTCAAATTAAAAAATCCCCCCATAAGAGCCACTTAAAGGGGGAATTCCTCCCATTTTCCAAAACGAAATTCAGGCCCCGAGTACGTTTGCAACAAAATTTTAGCTGGGAATGTGACTTTTCCAGGTTTGAAGAAAAAAAACAAAAACTCCGATACAGATACTTCAAAGCTTTCTAAATATCATACGTATTAATGGAGGCCATAAAAATGTAGCAAGTTTAATAGGATCGGTCTACCCTGTAAAAGCACAGAATTTGGATGGGAAAAAAAATCAATTTTCATTAAAGGACATTGTATTAATATTATTTGTATAATGTTAATGCAACAATTAATATGGTAAAATTCCCTTCATATTCTACATACAGGTTTTATGAAGGTAAATAAGACTTTTTAAAGTCCTTTAAAGGGGTTATATGATGTTGCTAAAAAGAACATTATTTTGTGTATTTGGTGTAATGAAATGTGTTTATGCGGTTTAAGGTTCCAAAAACACATTATTTTCCACCGCCAATTCCTGCCGGACCTGAGACTCGAACCCGCAACCTTTGGGTTACGAGTCCGACTCTCTAACCATTAGGTTAGGGTTACGACTTCCCCAAATGACTTATACTGTCTTTTTAAGCGTTGCATCGCGCCGTGTAAACATAAAACCATGTCTGCATTTGTGATCGGAGAAATGACAAACAACAAGCGCTACTCTACACTGCTCAAAACTCGTGTTTAAATCATCAGTGGCAAATTCTTTAAATATGAAAAACGTACTTACAGTCTGTGAATCAGAACAGCAGACATTCTAGTCTACTCTCCCAGAACCAGGAAGTTGTAAATACAACTTAACCACTGATTTCTAGTCGTGTCCTCTTTTGGAAGGCCAAACAAAGTAGTTTCACACGGCGGACTAGAGTGAGCGGAGGCGGGCAGGCTTGAGAACGGTGTGGCCGGCAGATTCGACGAAGGAGCGGCCGGCAGGCTTGAGGCAATTACATATGCCATAATGGGAATAAACTGTATTATTATATGAAGATGATGTCTGTGCATTCATTTAAGAGAGATATACTGGACTGGGGAAATTTTGCTCTGCTACTGACCAATAATAAGCGTCAAGCCACATCCTTAACTTCTTTTCAAATTATGTAGATTGACTAAATGTAAATTTGACTTGTAATGTGAGATGTGTAGCAAATTAATACAGTTAGTACAGTTATCAAAGTGACCTATATTTTTACAGACATATTTAATTTGCATTTACAAATCTAAAAATGTCGTCTTAAAAAAAAAAAAACTAAAGCAAAAAAAAAAACTTCCAACTCCTTAACGATATCCGTAACGTTACTTTGCACTACAACTTATCCGACTAGCCTAACGTTATTTGCAATCGGTCCAGAATCTAGCGTGCACAGATTTCGACGTGCCGTTTGCGTTTATATTTCATAGGATGTTTAAAAACACATAAACTAGTGCAGTAACCAGCTGAGCAATGTATTTGTTAGCAAGCAAGCTGATATTCAAAAAAGTGAATACATGAACAACAGCTTTCCTGTCCATATTATTAGAAAATAAGTAATGAAAACCGACAGAAATAACAGAGCGCGTATGAATCTTATCAGAATAAATTCCTAAGAACACATACATAAAAACATATGAAATGCATCAGTGGGTGGATATCTAATGGTGGTTTTAAAGCTCGTATTTTACATGCTAAACTCATGTGCCATGTGGAGTTAAACATAGAGCCGCGCTGATCACGCACATCCTCCATCTGCGCCACCAACTGATGAGATCTGTGTATATTAAACTTACCTCTATACCCTGTCTGTCGGACGTATATTGGGTGATATTAAAGCACTATATAGTTCTCCCTGCTGTATTTCTCAACTGGCTGAACATAAACATGTCTATGCGTTTAAAGCGCATTCAGATATGGCGGCTGATTTAACCCCGGAAATAAAAGCGAGCCGTTCAGAGCCCGTGGACGTGTCTCAAAACCTAGTTTGCTGTCTACTCAAACAGCATGCTTGGGCCTACTAGATGCGTTTTAACCCCATAAATCCTGCACGAGTCTATGATGCTCAAAATGCTGACTAGGTAGTCAGCTCACTTGGTTTTGATGCACAGCCTACTATTCAACTGTGTAGATACAATTAAAAAATATATATATTTATTTATAAATATATTGTAAGTGTATATAATAAGCAGGTTTTATGTTTAGGCCTACTTTTTTCCCCTATTGCTTATATATACATATTACTATAAAGTATGAAGTTGAGATGTATGAGTGTATAATTGATGTATAATTGTATAATTTGCAAACTCTATTTGCAGTTTTCTGCTTTCTTACACTGCTACCCAGTTGTGTTCCAAAACACCTGTGCTTATCAACACATGAAACCACCGGAAAAACTAAAAAAAGAGAGAAAAAAAATATCTTGCCAAAATCTACTCTTTATGCACCAAGAGCTTGTAACACTCCAAAGAGAAAGGAAAAATTGAAATCGCATCATATGACCCCTTCAAGGAATAAATTGAAGGGAACTAAATATGTCAGTATGTTCTCTAAATGTAAGTGTCTTGTAGCAACACTTCAAAGTTTGAAAATACAACTTCTAATGGATCTCTGTTACTTTCTAATTAATTTTACACAAAAAAAATATGTAGGAGTTTTTGTAGTAATGCCTTGTATATAGCACTGCCATTGTAACGTCAATGACATTGACCTTTTTTGTTTTTAAAGGCAATGATATCAATGCTTTGTTAATTGACTGTCTCTTGTGAAGTCTAAGAGCATAATTCTATTAACTCATAACATTATTGATAACATGACCAACCCAGTCTGTAGTGAACGGAGCTCCGTTGGCCATCAGCGTTTCTGCTTTCTTACACTGCTACCCAGTTGTGTTCCAAAACACCTGTGCTTATCAACACATGAAACCACCGGAAAAACTAAAAAAAGAGAGAAAAAAAATATCTTGCCAAAATCTACTTCAAGTTTGAGTTGCAAAGTTAGGACTAAAAAAAAACGTTTGCACCTGTTTCGGGCCAAAAAACAAAACAAAAACAAAAAAATGTTTTTGAATATGAATGTGTCTCAATGCAAGTCTCTCAATTTCGCTCATTGGTCAACGTTCAAAAATGTTATCTTTTTTATCTATAAAATGATAAATTAAACACTAATACAGATGCATTTTTATTCATTTAGCAGCAAGCTCATTTTAATTGGCATCTGACATTTGTCATCAAACATGAAAACAGTGCATTTAAACATGGACATCCGTTCAATACAAAAAGCCTTTTAAGTGAGACTCCAGTTTAAACTCATAAATTATTGTATGCATTAATATTACAAATAATTTGGCAGGCAATAATATTATACAGTTTCAGATTTCTTATTTGTTTTGGATCCCCTTGCCTTGAAGTGAATTTGGCAGATTAGAATCTGGATATCTGATAATCTTATTTCATGGCCAACTGAGCAGTCACACAGTTTACAGGGCAATAAGATACTAATACATCCATATTCAGTAATGCCCTACTAGTTTAATCAAACAAGAACCCAGTTATCACAGTTTACTGACATGGTTTAACAAGAAAGGCATTATTCATGACTCTTGTATTCATCAATATCAGATCGCAGTAGAGAATCGGTGCAACCACAGTGGCTTTAAACACAGATTTGGGTGGGAACTGAGAATTGCATTGCAGTGTCTTATAACAGCAGGCTGAAATCCAAGGTTTCGATATTAGCGATGGGCTCTTTCCAGTAGTTGAAGGTGGAGTACTTCAACAGCTCCAAATCATCTCCCTCCTCCTGTCCCAGGGGTTTTTGGGAGCTCTTGGCCGACTTCCCTTCTTTGGACTTAGGCATAGAAATGCCAATGTCTTCCAGCTCTGACAGGTCCAGTGATGGGATGGGCTGCCTCCAAAACAGGAAGGAGTCGAACTGGCTGCTGGTTGTGTCTAACATTTTGATCTGTGCATTAAGAAGAGATTTAAAAGATCAGGACAGCACTGTTGACAAGCAGATATTTATTTGAATCATAAATTAAGTAATGAAGACAATATCTCAACTAACTTGTTTCACAGAATACATTGCTTTGCTATTTAGAAACCCGTTTACATTTTCCCTCAGTGAGCTCCTGACTTCCCATGAGCTATTTTCAGTCACCTGCTATTTTCAGGGAAACTTGAGCAATTTACATCTGTAAAACAACTTTCATATGCAGGCCAAAGGCTAAAATATAATATAAAATAATAAATAGAATTACTATATTAATTATAATAAACTAATATATCAATTATATAATGTACTATAATTTTTTATTTTAAAATTGATTATGTAAAAAGTAATTTTAAGTTATGACAATTAAATGCAAACAATTTACATGCAAAATAACTTTCACCTACATGTCAAAGGAGAAATATATTATAAATCTACTACTAAAAAAACAACTTATCAATACGACGATTATAAAAGAAGAAATAATAAAACAGTGATAACAAAAAACTTAAATATCATGCTCAAGAATGTCTATATGATAGTGTCTGCATATTAAGCATCTAATTATATTAATATACTATAATGAGATGCAAGATTTAAGATCTTACAGGTGCAAGATTTATGACAATAAAATGTAAGCACCTCACATGTGCAAATAACTTTCATATCCTTGTCAAAGGAAAAATGTATTATAAAAACAGCTTATTATCATTCTGCTTATTATAAAATAAGGAATAATAAAACTGTTGTGGCAACAAAAACAGTCAATATGCTGAAGAATGAGCGGCATGATGGTGTCCACACTTCTGCCATTTAATTATATTAATATATTATAATAAGATGCGAGATTTAAGACCTTAGGAATAAGAACAAAGCAGCATTATCTTTTCGTTACAAAGAAGAGATATCATTTGGAAGCTGCAATTTTAAGAACACATGAAAGCCAATGATTAAGATGAAGCCACTCTAATTAATTGAACTACACGCTCCCGTCGCGTCGTTGGGTGATTTAGCTCTGGCCACACAATGCAGCGGAGGTATACGCCCAAATTTCAGAGACAATCGGTGGATGAGGTCCTTAAATGACCATCAGGAATATCCTGCATGTTTTATTTATCTATTGCAGCATCTCACATGCACATCTATTAACAAAGAGCCCCAAAAATAGTGATGGCGCATCTCATGACAAAGCATTTCAGAGATGCTTCAGTACAGTGGTAAGAATGGATTACAAGCAACTAACCTTAAATAGGCCTGAAGCAAAAACATTTACTAGTAAAAGACGCGATCTTATTTTTAAATAGCAAATGAGATCATATTAATTTTGTTAGACTGGACATCATGCCTATGTGATGGAACACCGAAATAATTTGTAATGCAAGGGATTTAAAAAAAATATTGCTCAAACAAATGGGAAAAAAAGCATACCCCTAGTATGTAGTCAGGTTCGCTCTTTTTGAATAACAAGCTGGTTTGTAGTAAGAATAGAAGGTGCACCCTATTTGGTCTCGATCTTCTCGCCGGCTGCTCAGCATGAACCAACCGCACCCAACATCACCAGTGACAGTCGTGGGCGATTTGCATTAGCCCCGCCCACCTTATGTGCGTGACTGAAGGGGATCAGTGACAGGTGCATAATTAGCGTCGGGTGGGCGTGGCTGATCTATTGTTCTAATAAAATAGCAAAAACCTAGTAACTGCATTTATGTGTGTATGTTAGTAGTTTTGTGGTTTTGTTAACGACCCCTTCTTTCTGCAAGTGGAGTGGTCTATTGTGTGATGTGATTGGCTGAGTTCACCGTCCATCAGGTCGATTGACCCATCTTTCCACTGCACGCAAAATGGAAATATATTGATTTTTTTCAGTAGAATAAAACGCACAGCTTTGATGTGTGAATATTTACTTTAATTTAGTGAATACCAGATGCGCAGACTGTAGATGTTTCAGTAGATTAATATTAACATCACATTAGAAATTTACAGGAATATAAAGAAGCTTTTAGAGGAGTAGTGTGCAAACAGATAGGCTAACACTATATATAGTGATCCAATATCATCCTTTAATTAAATATAGAATATTCAATACTATAATTTGATAATAATAAGAAGCTTCAGATACAAACACATGAGACGAAAATAAATGATTTACACTAGAGTTCAGCTAATTTCCAGTAATACAAAACGTAGTCAATCCTGTTTAACAGGTAAAGTTAAACATTCACTAAATGTACATTTTTGTACCCTACATTGTGCTAGCCGCAAAGCAGTCAGTGAAATAAAATAAAATAATAAAATTAGGGTAATATAGTATTTCTGAAATCTAAAAGGTTTTAGAATAAAGTGTATTTATTGATGTGTTTTACAAGATTACTCTAATGCATTGCAGGGACCGTTATATATCGGTAAAGAAAGAAAAAGAAAGTTCTGTCATTATTTACTCACCCTCAAAACTTGTATACATTTCTTTTTTTTGGCAGGATGTTTGGGACTGACAGCCTCATTCACCATTCCCCTTTCATTGCATTATTTTGCCCATACAATGAATGTGAATAAAGCTGTCATTCTTCTTAGCATCTCCTTTTGTGTTCTACTAAAGAAAGAAAGTCGTATTGGTTTGAAAAAATGAGGGTGATGACAGATTTTCTATTCTATTCTATTCTATTCTATTCTATTGCAGTGTAGTCTAGTCTAGTTGCCTGCACTTCCATCCTCCAACCACGAGATGCCACTAGATACCTGATAATAATTCAAATCCCATACGTCTTAATGACCTTAATATATCAAAACATATTTTACAGAAACATCGTTGTCAGTATGACCTAACATAACACTTTGCCAAGTAGAGAAAATATAATATAGTTATAAAGAGTAAATTAGCTTCCGACTTGACGTCACTGTTTACAAACACAGGCACCGGAAGTGAGACACAGGCAAAAACAAGATTACGGAAAGAGTGGTGAGAAAGAGAGAGACGTGCGCTGTATCAGCCGGACGGGTAGACAACAAATATCTGTAGATTTCATCCAGACACCTTCACTGGATTACTGTATTTTACAGTCTATGTTTTAGGGGCAAAGAAGAACGTTTTTAAAGACTTGCAGAAAGGTCGCTATGGTAAGTTTGTGCTGCTGCTGTTGTAAGTGATGTATTGTGAACTGCTGTACTCTTAGTATACATTAATATGTTTATGAATTCACATACTGTACTAAGTAGAAGTTGTTTTTTTGCAAACAGATTGCAAACCTTATTGTTCTGAAGAGACACAATCCTTGTGTTGACAGTTCACTTATTAGCAACCTCATCTGCAGTGTTTTTTGTTTAAAATTACAACAATTCCTCATTTTCACTGTTCAGTCTAGTGAGTGAATCTTGTCTAAATGTCTTTCTGTTTGTTTTAGAGTTTGTGAAATTCATAATATGAGATCAGAAATCCTTCTTAACCTCCAGAGCGTCACCCTTCAGTGATCAGGTGAAAACTAACCCTAAGGGTCTTCCAGCATATGTAATTATTATGCATGAAATAGTTTTGCCAAACAAACTATTGTAACTCTGAAGCTCATATTTTTAGGTCTACTTAAGAATTGCACAGTAACGCATTCTGGTTTATACATGTAGAGTTTGTAAATGCTGACATGCTTTATGTGCGTCCACAGAAAGCCTCCCTGTGACTCAGCTGTTCCCAGAATTAGGCAACTCAAAAACGACACGACTAGGCAGAGGTGTGCTGAAAAACTGCCACTTTAACGGTTTCCTCCTCCGCATACTAGTGATGGATGTGGCATGAAAGCAAGAAAGTATCAAGTTTTTAACTTAAGAAGGAATTTATGTAATATATCTGTAAGCGATTGCTTTTAAAAGACTGACACGGGTAGAAACGTGGGTCCTAAATCTCAGAAATATGAAGTAAGCAAAAATTAAATTTTTGGGAAAAGAAAACAGTCACTGCCAGATTTTTTTTTTATCAGCAACAAAAAAACCAACAAAAAAAAACGTGTTTAGCTTTCCACCCAAGTTTAATTGGCTCTGTTAATTATAAGCACCTAATCTCACCTGTCAGGTCATGGCAGATTCTTGCCCAGACACCGTTGATGGTGAGATTATAGGCATTTCTGAGGGACAGCAGTTAAACACAACCAAAAATGAGGACTTTGATGCTGTTAAACCACAGGACAAGGAAGTCAGCCCAAAAGAGGGTGTCACCAACGCTGAGCAATCCTCTGGGAGTATTTCTCACCTTATGAAAGATGACCTTATAACATGCAAAAATCCTCCAACAACCACAGCTTCCCTTGAAGACGAAGTTAATGCAACTCTGTCTGCGACCAGTAAAAGCCAAGACAAAACCGATGAATCTGAGATCATCAATAGCCAATCCTACACGCCCAGCCAATCAGAGGTGACGCCCACTTTCTCCATGGCCAGTCTGGAGTTCTCCGAGGAGACTAATGGGATTCCTCCTGATAGACCTTTGATTTCATCCAAATCTGCTGAGGATGGCAACCAAGTCCCCTCTCAGGGGAGCGGAGGGGCCTGTGTGGGGGCTGCGAGGGCATCAGAGCCTAGCATGCCGGCATATTATTTTGTCAAGTGGATTACCTGGAAAGAGAAGAAGACGGCTATTATCACACAGAGCGAGAACGGACCCTGCCCCCTGATTGCCATCATGAACATCCTGTTGTTGCGGTGGAAGGTAAGCCATTCAGCATTACCTGTTCGTCATAGGTAGGGTTGCAAAGAGGTGGAAAATTTCCAGTAAATTTCGGACACATTTCAGAAATTTTGGAAACTTTCCAGGATTTTTTTGGAATATTCCAGGGATTTTTGGAAAGCGAGTCATATTTGCAACCCTAGTCATATTACAAACACATGGTTCAAAACAAGTACATTATGTGTGGTGTTTGCTAAGGCAAGCATCACTTAAACTGTTTGAACAAACCCAAATAAATATTAAAATTAAAATAACTGCACAAAAAATAAGTATAAAATTGTAATTAATCTGTGTTAAAAATCAGTGATATATGTAGAAATATAAATCTTACTGACCATTTTTTTTGAAAGAAATTAATACATTTTTATTCATCAGTGACGCATTAAATGAATCAAAAGTGACAAAATTTCTATTACAAATAAATGCTATTCTTTTGAACTTTCTATTCATCAAAGAATGCTAAAAAAATCAGTTTCCACAAGAGTATAAAGCACGGATGTGTTTTCAATACTGATAATAAGAAGGAATGTTTCTTGAGCAGTAAATCAGCATATTAGAATGATTTCTGAAGGATCATGTGACACTGGAGTAATGATGCTGAAAATTCAGCTTTGCGTCACAGGGAAAAATTACATTTGAAAATATATCATAATATAAAGTAGTTATTTTAAATTGTAATAATATTTCACAATATTACTGTTTTGCTGTATTTCTCATAAAACAAATGCAGCCTTAGTGAGGCTTCTTTAAAAACATAAAAAAATCTTACCGACCCCAGACTTTTGAACTGTAGTGTATATATAAATATATAAAATCCATTGTAATCAGTCATACCAGTATTGACTTTTCACTGACCTAGTAATAGACTCATTACTCTTCTTATCTGTTCCTGTGTGTTACTGTATAAACACGATTTCAGCTTTTAGTCTGATAACACATTCAGGAAAAAAAAAGTGTTGTGAAATAGAAGACAAAAAATGTAGACGAGGGTGTGCCATGACTGAAAGCAGAAGTATTTGTTTGTGAATTTCATGTATGTGTACTTTAGATCATTACATGTATGTAAAATACGAACTGTATGAACTCTGTGTCTATTCTTCAGGTGAAGTTACCGGCTCAGATGGAAGTGGTCACCACTGAAGAGCTGATGGCTCACCTTGGTAAGATGTTTTAGAGCACTGGACATGCTATGTTACATAATATGTTACATCAAATTATATTAAAACACAAAGTGCTTGAGTCACAGCACATCTTTCCTGGTAATGGACTGTGATAAGTTAAGGAGCTCTAGTGATGCACCACAGTAAACTTTATGGTTGGAAACAGATGGCTAGTGTGACTTGAGAAGAAGGGGGTGTGGTTACTGTGTGAAAGCATTTGTGTTTCAGTACCACTAATGGCACCCCAATCACGGATTATACCATTAAGTCTCTGCTCTTTGTGTAAGTAGTAATTTAGAAGATGCTTTTAGGTTAAATGCCTTGCTCAAGGACACAATGGCAATACTTTCTGACCCCTCGATGGGTTTGAATCGTTACTAGTTCAGCCAAAAATGAAAATTTGCTGAAAATGTACCTTCCCTCAGGCTATCCAAAACGTTGTCAGTTTGTTGGAGAAGTTTAGCATTGCATCTCTTGCTCATCAGTGAATCCTCTGCAGTGAATGGGTGCCGTCAGAATGAGAGTCCAAACAGCTGATAAAAGTATCACAGTAATTCACAAGTAATCGTCATGACTACAGTTGATCAATTAATGTCTTGTGAAGCGAAAAACTCTGCATTTTTAAGAAATAAATCCATCATTAAAGCGATTTAACTTTAAACTGTTGCTTCTGGCCAAAATACAAATCCATAATAATGCTTCCTCCAGTGAAAAAGTCAATTTCCTGTTATCCTTCCACATTAAACTCCACCAACATATTTGTTTAGAATAGTTTTGGACCGTTTACACTTGTAAATGGTTTATCGCTTAATCTGTGTTGATCTGTGTGGATAGAGGGGGAAAAAAAGTCTTGATGGATTTGTTTATTACAAACATGCAGCTTTTTGCGTCACTGGAGTTGTGTGGATTATTGTGATGTTTTTATCACCTGTTTGGACTCTCATTCTGACGGCACCCATCCACTGGAAAGGATCCATTGGTGAGCAAGTGATGTAATGTATCTGTTACATCTCATGAAGAAACAAACTCACCTATATCTTGAATGGCCTAAGTAAATTTTCAGCAAATGTTCATGTTTGGGTGAACTATTCCTTTAACTACCACTCTTGATCAGCTATGGGTGTAGGTTTTCTTTTACAGTGTCCCTAAAATGTATTTGGTAACGTTTGCACATTGAAGTCACAAACATGAATGTCATTGCATTGCATTAAATAACAAAATTCAAACTGTAAAAAAAAAAAACTCTTAACTTTTCTTATCCATTTTTTTAAATTCCTATTAACCAACTGGTGTCACTATCATAGTATTTATATTTACGTACTTACATTTCTCTAATACAATGATATTTTAAGTGTGGCTTAAGTGTCCAAATATTTTTTGGAGCCACTGTATATCACCTCTTATTAGGTCATAGCTAGAAAGATCAACATGTGATGAGGATGTTGTTGCTGAGTGATGGGGAAATAAACCAGAAGCGCTTTCACAAACAATACAAATATGTTTGACATGAAAAGGTGACACTTGTCAAATCTCACAGTGAAAACAACCTTCGACAGAAAGCTAAAGTGTTTTTCAAATGCTTAAGTCTGATTCTATTCTTGTTCCAGGTGAATGTGTGCTGTCCATCAAACCGCGGGAGGAAGCAGAGGGCATGGAGCTCAATTTCCAGCAGGTAGATCGTAGTGTGGGAGAACAAGTGTAACAGGCTCAGCTCTGCACAGATCTTCAGCACATGTCTAGTCAATATAATTAACATGTTAAGCAGATGGGCTGTGCTGAACCAAAAGATATATACAATCAGATATTGTGAATGAGACTTGAAGCTTGTGATCCCTTCATTAACAATTACAACAATTACAACGTGTGTTTGTGTTTATGGTTGCACAAATGAAAGCCTCCTTTTGTTCATGTGCTGTTGCTGTTTTTTTTGCTCATGATTGAAAATTAGATGGATTCAATAGAAGAATTCAAGCTCATGCAAGATATTGCTAATATTTTAAATCTTTTTATTTTCATCATATTTTTATTATTTAAATAGCTTGAGTGTACACAGATAATACAAATGAAATATGTATACATTATTTATTTTGGAATATTTGAGATTGTTATTTTTTTTCTGAATATAGTCTGCTGTTGGCTTGTTGAAAATTGGAAATGGATATAATCAAGGTTTATTTTTTATAGAAATTAGTAACTTTTATTCAGCAAGGATGCCATTAATTTGTCAACGGTGACAGTAAATGCATTTATATTGCTACAAATAAAGGCTGTTCTTTTGAAATTTCTATTCATCAAAGAATCCTGGAAAAAGTATGATAGTTTCCACAAAAGTTGTAAGCAGCACAACTGTTTTTTACATTAATAATAAGAAATGTTTCTTGAGCACCAAATCAGCATATTAGAATGATTTCTGAAGAATCATTCTGACGGCACCCATTCACTGCAGAGGATCCATTGGTGAACAAGTGATGTAATGCTACATTTCTCCAGATCTGTTCTGATGAAGAAACATACTCATCTTCATCTTGAATGGCCTGAGCAAATTTTCTGCATATTTTCATTTTTGGGTGAACTATTTCTTTAACCACCACTCTGTTGATCAGTTATGGGTGTAGGTTTTCTTTTACAGTGTCCCTAGAAAGTATTTGGAAACGGTTGCACATGGAAGTCACATACATGAATGTCATTGCATTGCATTACATAACAAAATTAAAATCAAGTGACAACTGTAGAAAATCTCAAATTATTTATATATATACAGTATGCTGTTGCTGTTTTTTTTGCTCATGATTGAAAATTAGATGGATTCAATAGAAGAATTCAAGCTCATGCAAGATATTGCTAATATTTTAAATCTTTTTATTTTCATCATATTTTTATTATTTAAATAGCTTGAGTGTACACAGATAATACAAATGAAATATGTATACATTATTTATTTTGGAATATTTGAGATTGTTATTTTTTTTCTGAATATAGTCTGCTGTTGGCTTGTTGAAAATTGGAAATGGATATAATCAAGGTTTATTTTTTATAGAAATTAGTAACTTTTATTCAGCAAGGATGCCATTAATTTGTCAACGGTGACAGTAAATGCATTTATATTGCTACAAATAAAGGCTGTTCTTTTGAAATTTCTATTCATCAAAGAATCCTGGAAAAAGTATGATAGTTTCCACAAAAGTTGTAAGCAGCACAACTGTTTTTTACATTAATAATAAGAAATGTTTCTTGAGCACCAAATCAGCATATTAGAATGATTTCTGAAGAATACTGACACCAAAAATTACGAACTGTAATGCATTTATTAATTTGTCATTTTTAAAATACAATCTACATGATTTCAACTTAATAGGTTAGCTCAGAGCAGTTAGCATGATTTGTGGTAAATATTGCTCATAATATCTTCCACCTGACCCAGAAATCTCAAGATCTCACGCGCTGAGGTCAGTAACATAACCATGATAAATTACCATGAAATAGCACCATGTATTTGTATGCAATATTTCTCATTCCCTTCACAGAACATGAGCGATGTGATGGCTGTGCTGCCAAAGTTGTCCACGGGCCTCGACGTTAATGTGCGTTTTACAGGTGTGTCGGATTTTGAGTACACGCCTGAATGCATCGTCTTTGATCTGCTTGACATTCCGCTCTACCACGGCTGGCTTGTCGACCCACAGGTACCCACGTCACCCAGAAAAATGCTTTAATGTATTAATTCTGTATATCCAAACAACAATATACGTGCTCCATTCTTCTTTAGAGTCCTGAGGTGGTGTCTGCAGTGGGCAAACTCAGCTACAACCAACTGGTGGAGAAGATCATCGAGTTTAAGCACTCGAAAGATAGCAGTCAAGTCAGCGAAGGTACATTTGATGTTATTTCTTAAACACAAATGGCTCAGATATTGTGTATCAGAAGTGTGTGGGCTTCTCCTCATTGGATTAATGGCTGATGGGTAAGTCTTAATGCCTATTTGTTTACAGGTTTGATAGCAGAGCAATTTTTGGAGTCCACAGCAACCCAGCTGTCATATCACGGCCTGTGTGAGCTCAACACGACAGCCAAGGAGGGCGAACTGTCTGTGTTTTTCAGGAACAACCACTTCAGCACTATGATAAAGCACAAGGTGTTTATCAGCCTTCCCACACCAACACTCTCCATAGCAGCTAAGCTGATTATAACAACCCCAGCGACGTCAAACGGCTTTAAACCCACCAAAAAAAAAAAGATTTTTGGGCAGATTTTTGTAGCAAAAATAGCACAGAAGTATTTATTTGTTCATGTTTATAACCCCGAGTTAAACATTCAGCTTGAATAACTGCATTTTGCTCACATTTTGAGCAGAAAGATGCACCATAATGCTGAAATTTTGCTTTGATTAATGTATAACATTATGACTTAAGGCAAGACACTACAGGCAAAAACATGTTTTTTATGCACTGGTCAATTTTGAGATTTTTGTCTGAAGTGATGTCTCAGACTAGTGGAAAGAAAACATTCAAAATACACTTTTAGGTGTTTACTTTATTGCATTTAATCTATTTGCACCTGTACAATACATATCTGTAAAAGCTATTTTCTTAAAATGATTTTTTTTCCTGCAGTGAGCCAGAAATGTCCACTTCTGTAGCGCTTAAATTACAGTTTGAGTCCTTTCTATATTCTTAAGGTTTTTACAGAGATGTTTGTCGATATATCACTGACCTGATTTTAACATTTTATTCCTCAAACATATTGAAAATTCGTTTTTTCTGTCTGTTTCTGATTTATAGAGTCATAAAATATATCCAAAATCTCCTCTATTATAACGGTTGAGTCTAATATGTTAACAAAATGAAACAAAAATGTTTGATTTTTGTACTGGAAAAATGTTAAAGTGCGTATTTAATTAGATAATGCCTTATTTGCGTATTTAAACATAACATTTAAGAAAACCGTTCCTATATGAATTTCTTTCAGCTGCTGAACACAAAAGAAGATATTTTGAACAATGACTACAGCCATTGACTTTCATAGTATGAAAAAGAAAAATACTTTGGAAGTCAATGGCTACTGTCGACTGTTACCAACATTCTTTCAACGTCTTATCCACTGACCAGTCATCAATGTGTGAAACTGCAGGGTCACCTTTACCTGCTGGTCACAGATCAGGGTTTCCTGCAGGAGGAGAGCGTAGTGTGGGAGAGTCTCCATAATGTGGAGGGGGATGGGAATTTCTGTGACTCAGACTTCAGATTGTGCCACCCTTCCCAGAAACCCACAGGAGCCAGCCAGCCCTCTGCACAACAACAGCAGCAAATGCAGATCGACCAGGTGATTAAGATTTTGCCTTTCTTTTTGCTATCATGTAGGTATAAGGGTAACCAATAATATCAAAGCCTAACATGTAGCACCTCCCTGAAATCCGATCAAATCCCAATGCAAAAAAGAAAGCTAAATTATTTCCCACTGATTATTCTGTTTCACTCAGAAGCATGTAATTGCTGTGAGAAAGCTGTTTCATGTTGACATATACACCAACATTGGCTTAAGATTCATTCAGTGAACGTTTGAATGTGTTATCCAGGACTACCTGGTGGCGATGTCCCTGCAGCAGCAGCAGGGTGAAGCTCCCGGACCCATGAGTGATCTTGAGCTGGCCAGACAGCTACAGCAGGAGGAGTATCAGCAGCCACAAACACAACAGCACCAGCCCTCAGCAGGACAGGTACTTCCTGTCTTCCCTTCAGAAGGGAACTCTTGTGCATGAAACTTTAGAGAATCATCCTTTGAGATTAAACTGGCTTTATTCATGAAACCCTGGCAGAATGAATGTCTTGAGTAAGTCATTTACAAACCATTGTGTAAACTGTTGCATTCAGTATAGTGCAGCGGTTTACATAAGAGTAGATTCATGAATGATTTAGACATACTTGTCTCAAAGTACACTCCTGTTCAAAGATTTTTTTAAATAAGTCTTATGCTTACCAAGGCTGCATTTATTTGATCAAAAGACAAGTAAAAATAAATGTGAAATGTTTTCTGATTTAACATATTTTATATGAAATAATTTATTCCTGTAATGGCTTGTCACATGATTCGTTAGAACTTATTCTAATATCTAATATAAAAAAATCTTACAGACCCAAACTTATGAACCCTAAAACTTGTTCACCCAAAAATGAAAATTCTGTCATCATTTACTCACCCTCATGTTGTTCCAAACCTCTAGTAGTTCCTTATGATGGGAAAATGCCCTTTGTAAACTTTTCCTCGCTCAAGTTACTGAAATTGATCTCTAAATGTGTACTTTCTTCATATCCCTGCAGATGAGAGGTCAGGCCGAATCTCAGCACGGAGGACAGAGGCGCCGGGAAAAGAAAGACGACTCGGATTGTTGTATTCTTTAAATCAAACCACTCACCACCATATCCAGACTCTCAAAGCCACTTCAGCTTCAGTTTCTTCTATACCTCTACTGAAACAAAGGACTTCACTCTTAGCAGACCTGTCGTCCCAATGCCAAGCCTGCCTTTACAGTACAGTTGATCCCCTTGTTTTTGCCTTTCCTTTATCCTTGTGGTTGGAACTGTTGCTCATCGTTGTCTACTGGACCAAATAAAGGTAGCAATTGTTTCTAAGCCTTAATGAGCATTTGTTTGAGTGCTACTGTGGAGCTCCTAACTATGCCATTAAAGATTGAAGACTGTAATGGTAAATAATCAGGTATTGTAATAAGAATTTAATATTACACTGAAATACTACTGTCTCAAGTTGATCTGTACATAGTTACTGGTCATTGGCTTTTCATCCAAAGTGATATACAGTACACTACGTACATTTGATTGCCTCAGTGCACCGTGGAGCTCCCTGGATCCTGTAAGCTGAGCTAATAAAAGCCACCTCTGTGTTAACAGGAAATGTGTTGATTTATGAAACGTCTGGAATATTGGTATTATACAAAGAAACTTAAGTGCAGCATTTTTGGAGCAGTCATCGAAATCATTTTGCACACACATAGAGTTTAGTATTACCATAAGTACACATAGCCTACAGTGGGCTCCAAAAGTCTGAAAGCACTTGTGAAAATGCTTCTATTTTGCATTTTTGTCTAATACAAACCTGATGATGATGTTCTCCAGCACCATTTGAGAATAATTCAAAGAGCATCTGTGCTTTAATGGAAGACAGAACGTCTGGCCATCTGAATAGAGACTTTGCCTTTTATCATATACTTTTTATTTATTTGCATTTTTATCATAACTAATTTAACTTTGAAAATTCAAACTTTGAAAATTTACAGATTTAAATGGGGAAAATCTTATATTTTTTATATGGTGTCTTTTCTGAAGGAACATTCACTACAGTGCAAAAGTTTGGGGCCATTTAAAAAAAAATAAATGAATGCTTCCATTCAACAAGGATGCATTCAATTAATAAGTGACAATAGAGACATTTGTTACAAAGGATTTCTATATAATTAAATTCAAATAATCCTACAAAAATGTTTTCCACAAAAAAAATATTAAGCAAGAAGAAACATTTCTTTAGCACCAGGTATTAGATTGATTTCTGAAGGATCACGTGACACTGAAGACTGGAGTAATGATGCTGTAAATTCAGCTTTGCATCACAGGAATAAATTACAATTTATAAAATAGAAAACTAGTTATACTAGTTAAAAAATAGTTATTTTAAATTGTAAATTTTACTGTATTTTTGATTAAATATATGCAGCCTTGGTGAGCATAGGATACTTCTTTAGAAAACATTTAAAAAATCTCCCCGACCCGAAAAATTTGAACAATGTTTTTTTGTATTATATTTCATAATAATTATATTAAATAAATAATTTTAATATATTTAGCCTAAAACAGATTTTCTTTTCTGTGATAAAGCAGGAGGCAAAAACTGATTTTACTTTTCAAACCCGATCAGCATTCTGACTATAACTTGTTCAAAGTAAAACCTGACTTAAAGAGACATGCTAAGAGATACAGATAGAACTATTGAAAAAATGCAAGTTAGATTTAAGTCCCTTTCAATCACTTAAAGGGTTAGTTCACCCAAAAATGAAAGTTCTGTCATTAATTACTCACCCTCATGTCATTCTAAACCCGTAAGACCTTAGTTCATCTTCGGAACACAAAGATAGATAAGATATTTTTGATGGAATCTGAGAGCTGTCTGACCCTGCATAGACAGCAGCGCAACTGAAACGTTCCCAAGTCCAGAAACGTAGCAAGGAGATCTGTAAAATAATCCATGTGACATCAGTGGTTCAACCGTAATTTTACGAAGCTACGAGAATACTTTTTGTACGCAACGGAAACAAAAATAACGACTTTATTCAACAATTCGTCTCCTCCGCGTCACCGTAGCGCCATTTTGGAGAGTATCCACTGAACGCAAACAGCGTATGCTGTTCTGTGTTAGCTGCGCCACACGGATATGCTGTTTACGTCATTTATGCTTTGATCTGAACGGAAACAATGTATCCGCGTGACGCAGCTGACACAGAACAACATACGCTGTTTGCGTTCAGTGGTTACTCACCAAAATGGCGCTACGGTGATGCGGAGGAGACGAATTGTAGAATAAAGTTATTTTTGTTTTTGCGTACAAAAAGTATTCTCGTAGATTCGTAAAATTACGGTTGAACCCCTGATGTCACATGGATTATTTTACCCATGTCCTTGTTACGTTTCTGGACGTTGATCGTGTTACTTACATTGCAGTCTATGGGAGGGTCAGAGAGCTCTCAGAATGCATCAAAAATATCTTAATTTGTGTTCCGCAGATGAGCGGAGGTCTTACGGGTTTGGAATGACATGAGGGTGAGTAATTAATGACAGAATTTTCATTTTTGGGTGAACTATCCCTTTAAATACAAGTATATATATATATAATTTAATAAATGTGTATATCATTTATGGTTCACAAACACTTGATGTAAAGAAACATGTCATACATATTGTTTATTAGTGCTGATTTATGAAAATGTGCTCACAGTCAGAGATAATTTAATTAAATTTTTTTATATGGAAGCTGTCCAATTGTACAGTTTTAACGTGAAATACAAAAAAGCTAAACTTTTCAAAAAGAAGACTTTATAAGTACAAAAACAAATAACATACAAGGTGCTGCATTTCATCTTTTTCTCCCCGTGTGCTTTCCGTTAAGAAAATTAAAGTGCAAGACAAACACCAGGGCTCAAATGTTTTCGAAAGAAACGGCGCAACTCCAAACGAATATCAGATCCTTTGTAACAACTCTTTAAAAACATATTCAATACACAAACCATGCATGGACCGACTAAAAAAAGGTGATAATCAGATTATAACATTAGACATGTTAGATGTCTATGGTACTGACACACACAACAAATTCCACGGGGTTGATAGAAAACCGATTTCTGGCGACTAATGAACAATTCTACATGACTCAGTGAGAAGTTAATGTGCTAGACACCTTTGCGATTGGCTTCTTTTGAGTTTGTCACAATGAAACATGAGAATTACCAATACTGATGGGTAATTACAACACACGCTCGTCACCCCGACGCACTCATGAGATCAGCGTGTCATTTTGGTTTCCTTCTTTTCGAGGTTTTGAGAGCCAAATAATCCACTCGATGCTTCAGAACGAAATAACAACCTCATAAATAATGCAAAGTATATGGATATTTACAGAGCACAGTGGTTTGTATGAGGCACTATGTTGTACTGAACATGTTACATTTCTGTGGTGTGGCATTGTACTTGCAACAACAAAAAAAACGACTTTGTTTATCAATGGACTGAGGATATGAATAATATATCCATAAACTGATATAAATGATCATATGTCCAAATGTTTTCATGTTTATTTCCCATGAAATAAGATGCTTTCGATCACTTTACAAGTACTTTGCTGCCCCAGATCAGTCAAATCTGATTATTCACTCCATTCACTCCTTAATCATTATGCAATTTGTTAGATTCATATTAATCTAACGTCCCACTGTTCAGTCATTCTTTTGAATGTTGCAATCTAGAACTAGACTTCATTAACTGCTTATTAATGTAAATTACAAGTTTTCTTGGTAATGTGTTTTTTTAAATTGCAAGTCTGATATTTTATTTCGCAGGATACTGAATTGCTGTTGTCAGGATATTAAGATATAACATTAGTATTCAAATCTCTAGTCTGCAAATGAGGCAGAATATTAGAACTGTGCACTGCCTTTAAAGGAAAAGCTCACTCAGAAATGAAAATTGCTGAAAATGTACTCGCTCTCAGGCCATTCGAGATGTTTCCAAGTGTGTTTCTTCATGGGAACAGATTTAGAGAAATGAACCCTAACATCACTTGCTCTGCAGTGAATGGGTGCCCTCAGAATGAGAGTCCAAACAGCTGATAAAAACATCACAATAATCCACATGACTCCAATACTAAATTTCTCCAAAAATGTTCAGATGAAAAACAAACTCATCAAACTCTTGGGTGGCCTGATGATGAATACATTTTCATATTTGGATGAACTCTTCCTTTAAGAGGGAAAGCATTATAATAAACAAAAATGATCAAAAAGCAACAGGCCCTACCAATATCACACTGTACAAATTAAAAGCTACTGTAATTATAAGAAAAATGTCCATTAATTTTGGTTATAAATAATCAAACTTTAAACCTTGAGTAAATTAAGCAGCCGTGTTAATTCAGAATTAAACATGACATATATATAGCACATTTATTTCACGAGCCTAAATGCAATTTATGCTGACGCAATGCTAGCAGGTTGTCTGACAGCCGGTTGCCATCTTGCAACCATTGTACCAGAATCGGCACCAGTGAGCAGCGGATGCTAAGTGCAGTCAGACTGCTGATTGGTGAAATCACTACACTCTAAAAAATGCTGGGTTAAATACAACCCAGTGCTGGGTAAAATAGGGACAAACCCAGCAATTGGGTTGTTTTGACCCAGCGGTTGGGTTACTACCAAGAAAGTTGGGTTAAACATTTAACCCAACCGCTGGGTCAAAACAGCCCAATTGCTGGGTTTGTCCCTATTTGACCCAGCACTGGGTTGTATTTAACCCAGCATTTTTTAGAGTGTACGATGTGAATCACAATCATTTGTGTTGTTAGTTAAACCCGTTTAGCTTTTTTAAAGCACCATTATCCATAGTAAAATTATCACCTCTAGTCATTTCCCATCTCACATATATTACTACAATATTTGAATAAATAGCAACATCTGACTCCAAATCTTTTTATTCATAATTGGAGTGGCTTTGTTTTAAATTAAGTGCCTGTTAAACCTCTATTAACCACCAACAGCCTTTGTTGAGCTTGAACCTTAAAGGAGATATTTTTTCCCCCCAATTCATAGCCTTTCAATACCTTCAAATGTAATAGAGCGCATCAAATAATATTCATAAAACTGCTACAAACAAATCTATTTTCCCATTCCATTGATCATTTAATTTCAAATTAAAAAAAGTATTATTAAATTACAAATTAAATAAACTGTACTACTACATTTTTTCGACTTTTGGCTAAGATCAAGTGTAATATCTGAAAACAACTAACTAGTAAAAAATACAGTATTTCAAGGCTATAAAAAGAGAGTAAAATTCTCCTTTAAGATATGATAATCTAGACAAAAAGATGCTGTTGTGGCTCAAGCTTTGTAAAATTTGTATACATAAATAATTAGTACATATTTCAGTTGAAATTTAAATAATATAATCAAATTTCAGAAATGTAACATCTTAACTTCTAATTTTTTTGTACATGCCTTTAGGGTGACAGTGCACACTTTACTAGTAACTAATAATAATAATATTCCATAGTAGCAATATAGTGACGATGGCTATACATTTGGAAAATAAAATGTTTTAAATTAGTTCTGGTACACTTGACCTATGAAGATATCCTTCCGGGCTCACAGATAAAC